AAATTTCCTCACTGCCTATAAAAATCTACCTATTAGGAAAAAAAATTAAACTACCAAACTAATTAATATATAGGCTTAAAATAATAATAAAATGTATTTTATTATACATATATAGGGTACCATAGGGGTGTTGTAGAGCAGGGCGGTGTTAATAACTCAATATCGGAAGCCATATAAAATCGTTCAAGTCTCTGTTTTGCTAGGGTTTTCTCTCGTTTCTCCATTTTTATGTCTACTTAAATTATCATCGATTTTGGTGGAATTGCAGCTTACTTCAGCAAAAAAACAAATTGAAGAACAGACGAAGCCGGAACCCTAATACAATTTTGCTCTCGAAGAACGAATTACACAAACGCAAGTAGATGAACATGTTGACAACTATGCTGGATTCTCTGATAATCATACCCGGTTTGCTGGTCATGAGGTCTTGTCGAACTACATTTCTTGATTGAAAGTTCTTTAATTTTCTATTTATTGTCTTAGTGTAAAACTAAAACTCACTAGAATGCATCTTCTGAAATGACATTGGGCCACTTTGTAGTTTAAATCTTTAAAATTGGCAAAATAGGATGCCATTATTAATCAAACTACATGAAACCTAGAACGTAGGCAGAAAAACTTCGGATTATAATGTCAGATATTGTCAATGCCCTGTTGCACCTCTTTAATTGTTGAAATTATTTGGTTTTGACCAAAAATGCAGGAGGAAATTGATCGGAAGTTAATGGAAGCCTTCTTCTTCAGGGATGCTCTTCCACATCACAAATTGGCTGACATTATATCTGGTAAGATTAAATAAAATTATCAAGGCCCTTCACTGTTTTTGTGAGGTCTGTTTATTACTGCTTACAATAACATAAAGTTGATATCTTTTGAACACTTTGAGCCATGGGACCTTTGAATTTTGGCATATAAAAACCTGAGGTTATTAGCTAATGATGTTTCTCAAAGGGCATATCGCATCACATAGCAAACATGATCATCTTACTTAACTTTTTTTTACCAACAATAGCAACCAAGTTGCATTTTTGTAGCAATATAGGCAATTTGTAACAAGGAAGAGTTAGGCAAGTTCAATGCGTAAGTGGTAGCCAATAAATGATAATGTGGCAAATACTAAGCGTATTGATCATGTTTAATAAATAATAAGGGTTTAATTAAAAAAGGTTTCTCATTTATTACAGGGGGAAGAAATACATTTTAGGAAAAGAAGAAGGCGAGGAATTTCAGTGACTAAAAACAAGCGATATCAGAAACAATATTGAGGGATCGTTGAAGTCAAAATCAGGTACATATTCTTGCATAGTTTGAAATTGTGGGTTATTTAGTTGGAATCTGTATGAAAATGTGAACACATAGTTTTTTTTTTAACAGGGTTTTGATAATGGTCTCCTTGTTTTTATTGTTTATTTGAATGCTCCTTACTTACTTAGGGTTCTTTATTTTTGTTTTTTTCTAACAGTATGACATCTTCAAAAGCAAGAAAATCTTCAATTGAGATAAACTTCAATGGCATGTTTGTGACAAGTCCATTTGCTTATGAAGGAGGTGAAATCAAAGCACTCGAAAATCTTGATTTCACAAGCATGGAATACTCTGAGTTTTCTGATTTCTTGAAGAAGGAAACAGATGCAGACTGCTCAGGTATATATTATGTTATTCCTGGAAAGGAATTGCATAATGGATTAAGGCTTATAAAAAGTGATTCAGATTTCAAAATTTTTGTTGATTATGGACATAGAAGTAAGCGTAGAATTGCATTATACCTTGAGCATTTCGATGAAGATTTAACAGAGTACCTTGAGGGAGTTGAAGATGTAGTAAACCACAAGGTGGATGAGAGTGAAAATGAAACAGACAGCATGAGTGAAGATGATGATGATGATGATGATGATGATGTCGATGATGATGATGATGATGACGATGAGAGTGAAGACACTGCTTCCATAGACCATTTATCAGCAGATGAAGTAGAACTAAGTGAACTTAGAAAGAAGAAAAGAGCACGTATCATTGAACCAATCATATTTGGTTCAGGGCGAAATAGTCTTTTTGATGCTGATGTCGATGAACTGTCGAAAGAAGATACTATGGAAATCGAACATGAAAGCTTTTTGAATGAGCTTTCAATGTCTTTACAAAAACAGACACATAATAACATCAAGAATGATGGAGTAAAGTATCCCAGACATAATCCTAGGACATATTGGAAACTGATGAAACCTATACTTGGTGAAAGATATGAAACTCCCCAACAACTGAAAGAATGTATCACAAATTATGCAGTTGCCAATGGTTATCAGATCTGGTTTGAAAGAAATGATCACATGAGACTTCTTGCAAGATGTTCCAAAAGAGCACATGATGATGAAACAAAATGCCCTTGGAGACTATGGGCTACATGGATGGGAAATGAGAAATCTTTTCAGGTAAAGTCACTTGTAGATGAACATAAATGTGCAAGACACTTCAAATCAGCTTCCCTTGTGAATTACAAATGGATTGCAAACAAATTTGCATCCAAAATAACACAAGATCCTGAAATCAAGCTAGTTGATTTACAAGCTGCTGTGTTGAAAAAATACAAGTGTCAGGTGAGTATAAGATTATGTCATAAAGCAAGAGCATATGCATTAAGTGAATATGAGCAAGGTGGAAAGCTACATTATGCTAAATTATGGGAGTATGCTGAAGAGATTAAGAGAAGTAACCCTGGTAGCACAGTCAAGATGAATGTAAAAGTCAACCCTGATGATGGGAAGACTTATTTCCAAGGTTTCTATGTGTGTTTTCAAGGTTTGAAAGAAGGGTGGAAGCATGGGTGTAGAAGAGTGTTGGGATTAGGTGAATGCTGTTTAAAAAGTGTTTATAAAGGTGTATTGTTATCTGCTGTAGGTAGGGATGCAAATAACCAGATATATCCAGTAGCATGGGCTGTAGTTAATGTTGAAAATAAAGAGAATTGGAGTTGGTTTCTTAAATTGATGAAAAAAGACCTCAATCTTGATGATGGGACAGGTGTCACTCTAATATCTAACGATCACATGGTATTGCTTCACCCTTTTTTTTTTTTTTTCATTATTCTTCAACACTTACTATAACAAATATTAACAATATCTTTATAGGGAGTAATTGAAGCAGTGAATGATGTGATGCCACAAGCAGAACACAGACAATGTGCCAGACATATTTATGATGATTTTACCGAAAAGTTCACTGGAGGGCAGTTTCAGCGTCTTTTTTGGGAAGCTTGTAAAGCGTCATTTCCTCAACAATTTGATAAAGTAATGGAAGAAATCAGAGTGGAAAATCCTGAAGCATATCAATACTTAATGGATAAAGACCCCTCTACATGGTCAAGGGTCTTCTTTCAAACTAATGTAGGGTGTGATGCTGTTGAAAACGGGATTAGTGAGTGTTTTAACTCACTAATCTTTGATTTAAGAAGAAAGCCCATTGTCACCCTACTTGAATCCATCAGAGTCATAGTAATGGATAGAATGTCAAAAATGAGAGCTGAATCTGAAAACTGGGATGATGATATTTGTCCCACCATTCGAAAGAAACTTGAACAAACAAAAGAGTTAGAAAGGTAACAAATTTTTTTAAAATATCACTACTCCCAAATATTTATATACAGTTTATTTGATGTTATGTTTTTGTTTTTGTGAAGGTTTTGGCGTGTGATACCATGTGGTGGATCTTTGTTTGAGGTAAAACATGGAGCTGATGTTTTCATGGTGGATGAAATTGGGAAAACATGTAGTTGCAGGACATGGCAATTGTCAGGTGTACCTTGTCCTCATGCGATTGCTGCTATATTCTACATCAACAAGCTTCCAGAAGCTTATGTTTCAGATTGGTTCCGGATGAAGATGTTGAATGAGGCGTACAGTCATCATGTGAAGCCATTGAATGGAATCAAAATGTGGCCTGAGACAAAAGGGGTTACCCCTTTAGCACAAAAGCCAGCTGTAAACATGTGTAGAAAAAGGGGGAAGTTGAGAAAAAGGAAAAGGGATGCAATGGAGGTGTAGTGTCAAGTGGAAGTGGGGCCATGGTGGCTCATGTGTCTGGTGGAGGTGTGGTGGTGCATGGTTCTGGTGGAGGGACAGTGGATAGGGAAGGAAGAAGGATGACTTGTAAGAAGTGTTTACAGGTGGGGCATAATGTGAGATCATGTAAGAATGAAAAGAGGGATTCACCAAGAAAGGAGGCTAGACAGGCTGGAAGGAAGAAGGTGATTATTGTTAGTGAGGGGGGAGGTGGTGGACGTACAGGTGGCAGAGGTGGAAGAAGGGGGAGAGGAGGTGGGAGAAAGGCTTTGTTTGGATCCGATCATTTGACGGAAGATGATGTCATAGGGGTAAGATGGTCTTTTTCCTTTTTTTGAATTTTGAATTTTGAATTTTGATGTATGATTATATTAGATTTGGGATTAATGTGTTTTGATTTTTTTGATATTGACATTTGATAGTGTGGTGATGACATTCCTCTTGCTGTTTGGCCACCTCTTGGAGTACCACTTCTTTTGGACAAACAACATGTTGAGGATGCAAAACAAGAACAAAAAGATGGATTACAAGTGAAAGACCAAAAGGGTACCCCAAATAAAGATGAAGGGCCTATACCCATTAAGGTTGAAGGTCCTCCTCCTATACCACATCAAGAAGATAAAGGGCCTATTCCAATTCAAGATCAAGATACTTCCCTAAATGAAGATCAAGAGCTTACCCCAATTAAAGAACAAGAACAAGACCCCTCTATCATAGGTGAAGATAAAGGGCCTATTCCAATTGAGGTTGAGGACTCTGTATCACATGAAGATCAAGAACCTATCCCAACTAAAGATGAAGAGCCTATTGTTTGTGAAGATGAAGGGCCTATTCCAATTGAGGTTGAAGTTGAAGACACCATATCACATGAAGATCACAAATCTATCCCAACTAAAGATGAAGAGCCTCCTATCTCAAATGGAGAACATGAACATCAAGTTCAAGAGTCTATACCAAGTAGAAATGAAGATGAAAAACCCATACTAGATGAAGGTCAAGAGCCCATGCTAGATGAAGGTCAAAAGCCTACTCCACATGAAGAGAAAGAGTCTATTCCTATTCTATCTCAGAAAGAAATGAGATTACAAGTTTCAACAAGTGAAAGGATAGGTAAGAACAAGTTGAGGAAAGGTAGTGTGGAGAAAGATGGGGAAGGAAGCAGCGGTATGGAGAAAGTACAAGCAGTGATGTTAGATAATTAAAAATTTTAGGACGTTATTTTATTTTATTTTATTTTTTTTTGTTTAAATAGGGACTTTTTTTTTTTTTTGTTTTTTTTTTTCTTATCATGTGAACATGTTATGGGTTGGGTGGGTGGGTGCCTTTGAATTGCTATTGTGGTTGTGGTGCCTTTTGAACATATGTGTATGGGACTTTTATTGCACTTGCAAAACCCTAGTTAGATTTCACTTGATTGGTTAGGGCAAATATGAGATTAAGCATTATAATTGAAAAGGATAAATTTCATTCTTTGATTTCCACATTAACCCAAAACTATCAAAACAAATTAAAATACATAATATCAAAACCAATTCTCTCGTCGGTCATCAATAGGCTATACGGTGTCATGTTCATTACCGGCGGTAAACATCGTGTCGTACCAATTTTTTCACAACCAGTATAACATTAGACTAGACGATTAAAGTTGAATGTTTGAGGGTTTGTCTATTGGGAAGCGTTTAAGCTACTTTATTTATTTATCTCGAGTAAATTACAGTTTTGGTTCCTATGGTTTGGTCAAATTCACACGTTCAGTCAAACCTTTAAAAATTTGACAATATACATCCCTGTGGTTTAAAAAAATTACACCGAACATCCTTAATACACTTAAAAAGACTATTTTACCCTTACTTTTATATATATTTCTTTTTATTTTATATATATATATATATATATATTTCTTTTTATTGTTTAATTTTTTTTTTATTTTGCCGCGTACATTTTGTTTTATTTATTTATATTTTTTTTATAATTTATATATATTTTTTAAAAATTTTATTCGAACATATTTTTAATGTTTTTTTTATATATATTTTGTCCGTTGATATTTTTTTTGACGTTCTATTTGGTTTTTTTTTTTATTTTTTTATTTTTTATTTTTTTATTTTTATTAATGTTTTGCTCGAATATATCTTTTAATGTTTTTTTGATCTTTTTTTTATATATATTTGTAAAGCTTTTTATAAATATTTTTGTTTAAAAAAATATAAAAAGGCTAGTTAAATGAGAATATGATTAACACATATTAAGTATATAATTATTTATTTTAATAGGGTTTTTGTATAGCCTAATCGAAATTCAAAACGTATGTCAATGGCTTCGAATTCAATTTTTTTAGTTTTATAATTTGTTTACATTTCGTTCCGAATGGAAAATGTTAATCAGAATTCAAATAACATAAACACATATGTCAATGTTTTTTGAGTTCATTTTTTTATTTTTAAAAATTTTGTTCGTTATCGAGTTATATTGTTTTCCAATTACTTTTTATATAAACTGAAATATTTTTTCGTATTTTAGTGAGTCTATCTATTAATTTTATTAAAAATATAATTTTATACCTAATCTAAATTTAATAATATTCACATTTAACAAACTTTTTATTACATTTCTTACAAAAAGTATAAACAAATAAAACGTTAAAAAAATAAAATGTATTAAAACAACATGCCAATAAACTAAAAAAAAATATTCAAAAAAATATCATAAAAATATAAACAAGAAAAATATAAGAAACAATTTTTTTTTGGTGTAGTGTTTGAATATACTGTTTAATGTTTTTTATATTTTTTTTCGTTTATGTCTTTATGATGTTTTTTTGAATATTTTTTTTTAGTTTTTTGGCGTATTGTTTGAAAACATTTTAATTTTTTGGATGTTTTTTTTGTTTATACTTTTTGTAAAAACTGTAAAAAAAAGTTTGTTAAATGTGAATATTATTAACTTAGATTAGGTATAAAATTATATTTTTAATAAAAATAATAAATAGCTCACTGAAATACAAAAAAGGGTTTTAGTTTATAAATAAGCTAATTGGAAAACCATATAACTCGAAAACGAATAGAATTTCTAAAAAAAATGAACTCGAAAACATTGATATATGTGTTTGAGTTATATGAATTCTAATTAGCATTTTCCACTCAGAACAAAAAAGAATTATAAAACAAAAAAAATTGAATTCAAAGCAATTGACACTCGTTTTGAATTTCGGTTAGCCTATACAATAACCCTATTAAAATAAATAATTATATACCTAAGTGTTAATCATATTCGCATTTAACTAAACTTTATATTTTCTATACAAAAAATATTAATAAAATGCTATGCAAATATATAAAAAAACAAAATATCAAAAAAACATTAAAAGATATATTCGAGCAAAACATCAACAAAAAAAAAAAAAAAAACAAATCTAGAAAAACTATTTAAATAAAACGTCAAAAAAATATAAACAAAAAACATTAATAATATATTCGAATAAAATTTTTAAAAAATATAAAAAAAATGTATGCGGCAAAATTTTTAAAAAAACTAAACAATTATATATATATATATATATATATATATATATATATATATATATATATATATATATATATATATATATATATATATATATATATAATCAAGATCAAATAAGAAGGAAATTTTTGGTAGGAAGGTATTTGTTGTTATTCATTAAAATTATTATAAAAATGAATCATAAAGATGTTTTTTTGGGAATTTTTTCTTGTGAATCATCTTACAAATAAATCATCTAGCGATTCATTTATTTTGTTCGTCAAAAAAATATGTAGAAAAAAACTTCTTATCTTCCTACCAAAAAATTTTTCTTACCGGATCTATATATATATATATATATATATATATATATATATATATATATAAAAGAGAAATAAATATATAAAAGTAAGGGTAAAATGATTTTTTTAAGTGGATTAAGGATGTCTAGTGCAATTTCTTTAAACCATAGGGATGCATCTTATCAAATTTTCAAAGGTTGGATAGAATATGCGAATTTGACCAAACCACAGGGACCAAAACTGTAATTTACTAATTTATTTTTTTTGGTAGACAAAAAGATTACCACACTCCACTCATAAGTAAAAACTATTTGATAGGTAAAAGTTTATACGACGTCTACGTGATATTTTTTTTCATAGGTAAAATCTTTACCACACCCTTTAAGAATGACTTTTTTCGGTGGTTACCCTGATCGGAGTCCAAGATACAAGGTTGAGAGGGGAGAGAAGCCAAATAGCCAAATTTCGGTCGGTGAACCGGTGGGTAAGAAGAAATGTTGGTGGTGTGTGGCGATTCTTCAAAATCTATGCAGTCTTTCAAATAGATGGAGAAACCTTCGCGGATGTAAAGTTTGCTCAGAATACAAGACTGGTGGAAGTGTTGCTACGAAACTCCTTGATTTAGCTAACATAATCAAGCACAAGATTGCCGATGAGTAAAAGTTCTTCTACCACCACCATGATTTAAAATACATCATCATATACGCATTAAACCAGATAATTTTTTTTTAAAAGCATCATAATAGCTAATTCCTCAATACCTAGAAAATGCACTAAAATGGTGTTTGAGATTGTTTTTCAAATGACTTTTTGGTTTTTGACTTTTCCAAAAAGTAAAAAAAAAAAATTCAAAAAAAATGTTTGGCAAATAGAAAAATTCTTTTGAAAATAACTTTTTGCTAAGAAAAAAATGATGATTTTTCAAAAGTCATATATTTTTGTGACTTTCATAAATTACATTCAAAAGTCAAAAGTCAAAAAAAAAAAAAAAAAAAAGACAAACCGTTTTTAAAGACGACTTCTGGTTTTTATTTCATAGAGCATCTAGTTTGTTTGCTCATGCACAAGTGATATCTTATGTTGCTTGCATGTTCTCCTTGAGTCCTTCTTTCTACCAATATTCTAAACATGCCTTTTGTAAACTCTATAGCAGTATTTGAGGAATATTCTCTCACAACAAATCTTGTAGGTCTCCTAATAGGTCATGTGTTTGTATTATAAGTATATATTTTGATGGTAATAAAATCTGATGTATATGATAAGACTTCTTTTCTTATATCTTTGAGATTTATATCATTTTGTTATTGCTCAAAGTACTTTTGTCCCTATATGTAGGTGACAGTTACATACATGCATGGAGAATTAAAGACCATGGTGTCTACCAAGATAACAAACATATAGGCTTTTGAGCACATTTATGAAGAAGAAAACTCAAAATCAAGGTAATTTCACTTTCCTATGTCATCATGAATTGTGGGCCAAAAATGTCTTTCAATTTTCGACAACATGTAGCCTCGATATCTATTTATCTTTTAGCTTGAGGCTATTTCATGACAAAAGCAAGTCAATTTTGTTTATTTCTTGCATCTAATATAAAATATGATAATTTTTTGGGGATGTTGAATGGGCATTATGCTATGTACCCTGGAGAAGTTGAAAGGGCACCATTTTTATCTCTTGTTTACATAATTTAATCCCAAACAAGTTGCCCTTTTCGGTTCAAGTGCTCAAATCCCCATGATTTAATAAAAAAAATCTATTCGATTGATTGAACAACTAGTTTGCTTAATTTCATATGCACAAGCAACATGTTGCATGTTGCCTTTTTTTGAAAGCTTGCATGCTATGCAGAATGTTGATTGTAACTGTCAAACCATCTAATATTTCCCAAACATGCCTAATAAGGGATTTGTGGCTACTTCTGCTATAGTGGAATCCTTAGGAATATGTGTTACTTCTATTTGTATCTTGTTATGTTTAATAGGGAAAAAAGTGTCATAAAGCATTTATTAAATATTTAAACGAATATTTCATTTAGGAAAATAGAGGAAGCTCATGTATCAAAACCAACGTGGAAAGATATAGTGGTAGCTTTAAGTGTACCTCAGTACCTAGTGGCAAGACATCTTCAGATAGTGTTTATAATACATGGGACACGTGGATGCATAATATATACTAGAATTATACCATGTTTTTGGCTCTCCTAGGTTTTGGAACATTCCATTCACGAATCTAATTTTGCTTCGTGTTTTTGAGTTTTTGTGCCTATGAACTTGAAGTGTCATACTTGTGGATAATCATTACATCTGATTTTTTGGGATGTTTAGGCATAGGGATAAAATACATATTAATGAAAGTGAACTTTACATGAATCCATAATAATATCCTGCAATTTGATTATTGTTAAGCCCTATATTCTCCCCCATATTTCTAACAATGCGATTAATGATGGAAACTCAAGTTTATAATGCCATGTTAAGGTAGACGCCAACTTGATTATGAAAGAGCTAATAGGTTCTTTATTTAGTATGCAAGCCAAATATCTGTGTACTACATCATAAAATCAAGACTTATAATAGTATATATATTTTTATTATGTATTTTACTATTCTATAATGATGATTTTGGTATTTGTTTGAAGTGCGGCTTAATCTGTTGGACAGATGTTGTCAG